TAAGATTGCCAATAATAAGATCAAAAGAATGAGATTTGACAGTGATTATGAGAATTAAGGAAGTTGTGGAGATAGAGACCGTAATATGACGAATTCATTTTAGGTTAGTATCCGGGATCTGTTCTGGGTGGTGGACAGTGACCACAATCACTATCCTTACCAGCATTACCTCTTTCGCCATCTGGGCCTGGATGACCTGGCTGTCCGTTCTTGCCGGGCGATCCTGGCGGCCCTTTCATTCCGAGCTTTCCGTCTGGACCGTCTGCACCAGGCGCTCCAGGCCTACCACTTGGACCAGGCGCCCCAACTGCACCACGTGGACCAGGAGGACCGATTGGGCCAGGAACATCTTGGACATTCCCTGGTGGCCCTGGCGGTCCTTTAGGACCCGTTGAGCCTACTTTACCGGGAAGACCAGCTGGGCCAATGGGTCCGACTGGTCCACGCTCTCCCGGAGCACCATCTTTTCCTGGGCTACCAGGTTTTCCCGCACGTCCTTTCGGTCCAGCGCTACCAGGTGGTCCCGGTAGCGCATCTGCACACTCTAAGCAGAAATCGACGGGTTTTTGAGAAGAGGATATTTCCGGTGCATCTTTGCCATCAAGTCCTAGTGGTCCGGGTGGTCCATCTGCTCCTGGCTTTCCATCACGTCCTGGTGAGCCCTTTGGGCCAGGTCCTCCTGTACCACAGCCGCAACAACCTGGAGTGTCGTCCGGTGCAGGTAAAGCGTTGCTTCGAACTANTCGGCGAGTGCTTGAAAGTATGAGGAATATTCCTAAGAAATCAAAATTAATGCAAACCGTGATGACAGTCCTGGCTTCATGTAATCGATGGTGTTACAAACGATGGAAATTTAGATCTTCACCTTTTTTTAGATCTTCACAAATTTAGATCTTTACATTTAGCTCGCATCATTACAGATCTTCACTTTTTTCGGACAACCGTTATGAGCATATTTAATAGCAATTAGATTTGTTGAACAATACTTTTCTACAGCTCATCGAAGTATTTTATCGGAATTTCCTGTGGATGAATACTGATATTGCTTATGGGCAGGCTTATGCTGTTTTCCTAATTCTTAGCGTAAATGATGAATCGCATAATCAGATTACTTCTTTTAAGATATGAACGCTGCTTCACAACGTTCATCGAAAACGGGACAATCGAATAATGAGTGATTGCTAACGCACCTCGGTTCGTGTAATTTCCTGCCACATATTACTGCTTCGTAATTTACAGAAATTCAGTTCATTTTGCATGACTGATTGGACATTTTGCATTTCATTGTATAGAAGTGGTAGTAGAATGATACAGATGAATGTGAGCGATAGTGATAATGAGATTGATATGAATACTATACGACGAAGCTTGTTAACGGCTGATTCTTTTCTTGCATCCTCTAGCAACATCTGAAACATTTGCTGATATGATCTGCTCAGAGCATGTGGATTGTTTTTAGCGTTCAGCATGGCTTGATTGAGCAAACTGTTCAGCATCTTCGGTTTCTCATTTTAATTAGTGATAGAACGACTGAAGATGATGAATTTAGCCACATTCGCTTTTATTGGTCCCATCAGAAAGTAAAAAGAGAATAATTAAGTTGATTTTTTGGTTTAGAAAAACACTCAATTTGATTATTCTCCTTTCATGAGAATGGAG